TGTCAGTTTCGCACAGTGCACACCACGGGTTGATCCACCGCCGATTTTGCATAATCACAGTTACATAAGCTGGGTTGTTGTTGTTGTTGGTCATGGTGACTTCTTTCTATCATTGATTACTTTGTTGTCGCAAAGGTTCGTAAACAACGTTGGCCGTTTCTATAGCCTGTTTTTTTAATTACTAGATGTGCTATGGCATAATTGTAATAGCAAGGTTTGGTAGTTGTTACTTCGTTGTGTATTTTGAACACTTATTCATGAAGGGTCTACTTTTACACTGTAACCGGAAGGGCGTACTACTCACTGTATTTTCCGCCACGTTGTCTTTTGGTCGTTTAGAGAACTTTTCGGCGTCATCTTTCTCTTTTTTTATCGCCAACTGTCGCTTCATTCGACTCCGACAATGTGAACTTCATTCGCTTGTCCCATTGAACCGACAGTCATTTTGATTCATGCTCTCTAATGGGTTTCTGTCTATTGAATAGCTCAATTTTCTGCACTCATTTGCCATCCTAGTCTATGTAATCACGATCAGTAATCTCCTTCAAAATATCGTCGCGTTTGTGTATCGTCGTTCCACTTCATTGCATTCTAATTCTCTTAGTTTAGGAGGGCTTGACAAGCAGCTAATCACTGTGGTCATGGTTGATGAGTAATCATTCGTGTAAAGAGTACCGAATTGCCCTCTTTATTTGAAACTTTTCAGCGGACGAAAGTTTCCTGTCTGCGGCATTCACCGTCCAGCGACAGCTATTCAGTGAATGTGATTGTCTTCATTTTTTTTCAGCACGATAGCCCGTGGTTTCTGTAGTCTTAACTTACCCCCACTATCTATTTTCTAGACACCAATTCCGTTCTGGTTTTAACTTGCTCTGCGAATAATTCATCATGAAAACGGATGCTTCACTGTTAAAATGCCGCAGAACTGTTCGGTTCTGTTTATCTCCCCCCCCACACACACACCAGACCAGAATATCTTTTGAGTAACTTCAGAGTTAAGTCAGTCGGTCAAGTCAAGTCAAGGAATGGCTTAATACACCTCGAGAGCTGGATGATATTCAGCAACCACATAACCATAGTGTGTCAACAAAAAGTAAAAAAATACAATATAATACAGCAATTAAAGGACGTGAAAAAGGATAGCAACATCAGAAACCAGTGGCATACCCGGGTGTTCATGATTGATTTAGTTTAGCGTTTAGCGCAGATTTCCTGCAACGAGTTCATGATTTGTTAGAAATCTGGTGAGATATGGGACAAAAAAACCACCTGTAAGCTTCAGTACGTGTCTTTATAAGTTTGTCAGTGGAACGGGTGGATGAATGAGAAAGGCACTGACTAACGGCGGGATAAAGAGGATGGGGAATATCAGATAAAATCTTGTTGGAGAATGTTTTACAGGACTTGAGGTGATGTGTAACCACATACTGTACCAGATGTTCCCGTGGTATGAGATTACAAACTGACAGAAATTTGAGGGATCGGGAAATGAGTTTGAGGTCCTTGTTCAAAAGACCAGGGAAGATAACAAGGGACCCATAAAGCCAGTGAGGCAAAACGCACGCAAAAACAAAACGCCTTATGAGATGGTTTGGAAGGGAAAGTGATTTAAGACGTAAAACATAAAACGTGAGCCTCCTGACCTTCAGAAAAACGTCATTAACGTGGTCAGACCAGGTTAGGTTACGACTGAAAATAACGCCCAGGTATTTAACAGACGGTTGTCATTCCATCTGGTCACTGAGGATAGATAAAGGTGGACTGGCATTTGATAATTCATCATAATTTTGCTCTTTCAAAAAGGAAAAAAATTACGTCATTACATTTTCGGGGGTTCTTGCGTAGGTTTCTTTGTTGAGATCACTCAACTATTTCAGACATCTTGTAGAGTCGTCTGAAATGATGAGTTGGAATAGGGCAGTCCGCATATTATATCGTCTGCATACTAGACGAGAAGAGAAGAATTGCTCACAGGCATAGAGGAAATGTAAGCAGAAAATAGAGAAGGGGATAAAATAGCGCCTTGCAGTACGCGCCTTGTGAGGACGGCAGCAGTGAAGGTGTACGACCTTTGTAGCGTGTGAACTACTGACGGTTGCAGAAATAGTTGGCCAAGCATTCATTGGTAGAAGGTTGAACTCATCCAGAAGAAAGTGTGTTTAGCAAAATTTGTCGATTAATTGTGTTAGAAGCATCACTTAGTCAAAAAAACATGCGTACAGCCTCGCTTTTCTTATCCAGGTTGAACAAAACAGTGGGACAGATAAGCAAGGGCATCCAGGGTACCACGGGAATGGGTGTATGCAAACTGGCTAGGGTCACCAACATTGAATTGTGTGGACACTATCTTGATCAGGAGCCTCTCAAACACCAAGACAACTGAGATGCAGGCAATGAAACAGAATTTTGAGGATCCTTTCTTCGGTACAGAGGTGATAGAGACTATTGTCCAGCGGTCGGGTATACGTTCTTGCGAAATACAATCATTGAAAAGTTCACTCAGTAAAGAGGAAAGGAAGGTAGCACATCTTTTCAGGACAGCGGGTGAGACTCCGTCGGGATTGTAAGACTTGTGAGGATTTAATCGAGCCAAATATCGACAGGTGCAACGCTGGAGACGGGTTCAGTGGTGTTCATTTCATATCCATTAGGTATAGCAGTTGAGACCCTGATTCACACCATCTATGTTCACTGCAACAGGTGAGCGGTGCAAGGGTTTGATGCCAGAAATCCGCATGAGGGCTTGCCAGATGTCACGACTACTTCTGTTGTCAAACCGAGCACGGGGGTATAAAGAGATTAGCCTTCGAAGTTCAGCCCGAATGGATTTAGAAAGAGAGCGCACCTCATCGAGCTTATGCATTTTGAAGGCACGCTCCTTTCTACGACGGATTTTTTTGAGGTGTGGGGAAGAGAATCGATCGGGACGAATATAAATTGTCTCTGAGGTACAACAAATATCGTAACAAAAGTTTAAGTAGCTTGTTAATTGATCAAAAAAAGAGGAAGGGTTGCGATCAGAAAACAAAGTAAGCTCGGAGTGTCTGATCATTTCCGTTAACATTGTGAGGTTTTCTGGAGAACGCTGGCTTACTTGAAGCTTGTGATCACGACTTCGAGTAAGAAAACGATGGTTCGTTCTGCTAAAGATGACAGGGGAAAACTGCAACATAGAATGATCAAACATTCCCAGTGAGGGACGGCGTTCTACAAGAAGTAAATTGGGGAGGTTGATAAAACCCAAATCCAGATGTGCGTCAAGGTTGGTGGGAAAGGTAATCATGTTTTGAATACCTAAGGTGGTTAAGAAACGGGTATCGGAATTATTGAAATCACCACAAATGATAGACTGAAGTATCTACATATTCAATCAGTGTAATTGAAAGAGAATCATTAAAATCATTAAAAACAGGAGATGAACAAGAGGGGGCTATATGCACATTTACAAGAATAAGTGACCGACAAAAGCAAAAATGTCTGGGCTTACATTGAATTGCTGATGCGTTTATATAATGTGTGGAATAAGAAAACACATTTTTGGTCACATAACACCACTGATTTTCGACAAACGCGATGACGCCACCTCCTCGTCGGGAATAGGGAACAGGACGATCGACACGATAGCTAGCGAATCCATCCAGGTGTATTATTTCATCCTCAATTTCATTGTGGAGCCAACTTTCTTGTAGCATGATCACACCCGGTTGGGCATATTCCCGTTGCTTGATTAAGCTGGTGAGATCGGTCATCTTTCCGATAAGAGATCGGACGTTAGAACTGAGAATGATGGAAACACATAAGCGGGAGATGGTTTGTTCCCGAAGAGCAACTTTCCAACCGGCTTGATGCTTCCTCGGATTTTCCGAAAGCTTTCTGAACGTCCTTTTGGTTTTACTCCTTATATTCCTCCCAAAAGAGGTTGTAGCTACACATTTGGTTCACTTGATTGAATGCATAAAACCCGGATGTATTTAAAAATCTGTCATTACTGTAGTCGAACAATTGTTGCCTTGGCAACAAAGGTAGAAGTTCATGCGAATGATGCAATAAAGCTCAGACAGATGGGGTTATGCAGTGAATAATGCGATGATGAAAAAGAAAACGGATAGCGCGGCCAAAATTCGAAGGCCCCGCCGGTATATTGCGTATAATCGAGTTATCCGTTCATTAACACGACGTTTAATTGCAGCAGGAACAAGTAAGCGACAAAAGGCCCACGCCCGCGATTTTCTGTGTTTCCTGCTGATCACGATAAATTATCTAGCGTAATAGATCGGTCCTTTGCGCATCGTGCCTCGGGTTGAGTTCTGAACGACTATTTTGTATACTAGACCATAAAAGCCATGTTACACATCAGTAATTGTCTTGTGACAAAATATTAAAAATTGGTTCTCGTAGCTCTTGGGTGAACTGAATTCCGTGTCACCTGTGCATCGAGCAATTGGCAAATTGTTTGCAAACGTTTCATCACCAGCCGAGGTCACATCGTCAGTGCTTGTGACGATATCACCTCGGTGATGAAACGTTTGCAAACCAATTGCGAAGCTTGGTGAACGAGTGAAATGGAGTTTTATCCTATATTCATAAAAATGCGTACCAGAGCACTTCGTACTGTTGTTTAAGTTAGAGGATGAAGAGAGAAAATAGTTGTTTTCGGGTAACTCTTCAACCAGATTGATCATTACATCTGGAAAGGCTCTTCAGCTTTCAACGTCAAAGTTTTGAATAAGCCATAGAACCGCAATCCAAATTGTTAATAATTCCAGGTTGGTTTATGGAGACCATTGTTCGTAACTCGATGTCATCGTGGCTTATCTTACGTTTTATTTATTGTTTGGTGAAGATTTCCTTCGTTGAAAACGTTTCATTTTCGTGTATCTCTGAGCTTCATCCATCTATTCATCATCATCATCATCCTCCTCATCTCCGTATATCTTCTGTATCTGTAGCATCTGTTTATCTCATCCTTTCCATCTTGATCTGATTCGTCTATTGTTCAGATGTGAGACACACCGGGAACAACTATCCGTGTTCTGTACCACGTGTGATGCAGCAATCTGTCATCAGTGCGCTCTGTTTGACGGGAAACATGCACAGCACGCATTTCGTCCTCTGGATGAAGTGTATAACGAGCATGTGAAACAGATTCAAAGTGAAATGGATCAGTTGAAACATCGTCATTTGGAATTGATTTCACTGTTCCAGGATGTGGTAAGTGCATTTTTTGTGTGCACGCCACCCCGTTCTCTCACACGGCACATACATGATTGCTCAAACTGTTGTCTGCCGGATTGAAGTCTTAGACTGAAAGTTTGAAAAGTTAATCAGCCTCGGTGGAATTCAAACACAGGTATGCACGTCGCCTACGCTTTTGTACAACACACGCTCTACCAGCTGAGTTACGAGCCCACACCGATAGCACTGATCTTTTCACTTTCGAATCACCTATCCAACGTATAGAGTATAAGGATGGATTCCACCAGGTAACATGTAAGCTAGCTGCCACGGCAAGTTTTCCTTAAGACAAAACTGTCTGCCAAATAACAATTTGCACAGCCAACCTCTATCGACGTGACTCCGTAGCTCAGCCCGTAGAGCGTGTTTTGCATAAAGCGTAGGCGGCGTTCACGCCTGGGTTACAATCCCACCGAGGCTAATGAACTTTTCACAAATGTCAACATACACATGATTGTCTCCATTATTACTGGTACAACTCGCAGCTGAAAATGCAAATGACTTCCTGCTGTTTCTACAGGATTCTTGGACCTCTTGTCTATGATACGAGTGGTTTGTTCTATGTTCAGTGTGTGTTCAGCGCTTGCAAGAACTTTGTTAATCTCACGTCAAGCTTGATACTGTGCGTACACATCAAAAATTTATTCCTTGCATTCGACCATTCACCGTCAAATTTGTTAACTACTCCAAGTTGCCCTGATCGTGAACGACTTAGCACGATAATCAAGTCACCGGTATGCTTTAGACCCTGTGGTCCGAGGTTCGAACCCCGGCACCGCCATCCAACCAGTGCTAGGCAGCTCTGCTGTCGTCCGGTTCAATACCACGCCTAACCTATCGGGGCTTTATGTGGTTCGTCACTCCAAATCCCGGGGCTTAGGTTTCCGGTCTCCACCGCTGAGAAGCAAGCCCTCGTGACTGCTGTTCATCACACTTAGGTGTGTATAAAAAAAGGTTTACATGCTGTTGAACTACGCTCTACCTCCATAAAATCACATATCAACCCAATAATATTGAACTCAACAGCTTCCCGGATGATGCACTTCGCGATGGATGCCACTTTGCTAAAAGTGCCCGTGGTTCACACAACACTCACATGATCTGATAACACAACCTCATTTTAGAGAACGTGAATACACACGGTCTTATGAGTCTGCGCGCACTGACAACCCATAAAGCGTGGATCAGTTAGGGTAACATTGTGACATGGGTATACACTCCTCATCATTGTCATCTAATTGATGAGCAGTTGATTGATTTCGGTGAAATTACAAACCACTTTTACCTGCTGTATGATCTCACGTGCAAACAGGTTACTCTTATCCATGCTTCATTCATGTGCACCGCAGTACACTCCTGCACTGTCTATGTCTGACATGTCTGGGTTTTTTTCAACTAAAAGTCGTTCTGGTTAACAGAATTTCGACTTCTTGTTTCCGAGATGCACGAAGTCAGCCAGAACCATATCTGTATTGCCCATAACATACAAAAGGCAAAGAGGAATGAAGCTAACAGCTGTTGCAAATATCTGTCTGGCAGCAGTGTAATCTTATCGATTGATGACGTAATGTGGTGCTGATTACATCTGACCCAATGGCTAAGTGTTCTCATCTCTCATCTACTTCTTGGGAAAATGGCAGTACACAATGCAGCTGCGCTCAATAGACTTCGAAGTTTTCGGCAGATGACTATAACCTTTCGAAGTTTGTCACAAACTTTCTAGTGGCATGGGAAATTAAAAAGTTATGGCAGTGGATAGTTCATACACACGTAGGTAAATTTAGTGCGTCAGTAAGATGCAATCAGTTATTGTGCAACGTCACTAAGCGTGACGAAAAACCCGTCAAACACTAAAATATGTTAAAATGCTAACCTTAGCATTACGTCTCTTGAGAAATGCAATCTCATGTAATATCGTCACTCCACCAGAACAGAGGGATTTCGATAATAATGAGGTTTGGCTGTAGTTGAATGAATGACGTCGTGCTGTGCCTGGACTCCATAAATCGCCCCAACGTCTCATACAAGCTTTACTTAACCAACTGCCTAAATCCTATCTCTCGAAGGTTCTTGTGCTTACCACGATCATGGCATCAAATCAAAACTTGCTAACATTGGACAATCCTAATCAAAAAAACCATCGTTATGTTTTTTTTCAATTTCGAGAAGATCAAGCGCACCGCTGCAGTTGAAATCAACGCGTGATGGAAACCACCCACACTTTTCAATGGTGCTCACTCTACCAACTAAACTACGTCGCACTCTCAGCAGTCCCAGGTCGGAAAAAAACAGTAGGTCATTTTGGGAGTATCGTTTGAGTGTCGGTCGTTTCATCATCATTCTGGTGGTTGGGGCTGACATAAAGTTTCTCTGTCTTCGGTTGTTGCGCCGCATGGATGATATATTACAGTCTGAGATACGTTGTGACACACTTTCTAACCGAAATAAGATTAGTTATGTTCCATTAAGGGAGATGAATACTGTGTACTTCATGCAATTTAGGTCGATCATGAACTTTTGAGTTTGAGGCTAATGCTTATAGGTCCGGAATAGACAGCGTATACTTACTTTCTGTATTCTAGCATACACGATTTGTTAATTTGGCTACAATCCCATAAAATAATGCAGTCAAGAAATATCTCGATTGATCTTGATGTCCTACTTCATCGGAGTTGAATGGGTTTTAATGGTCACAAAATGTACTTCCACTCTCGTTAAGACGTTTAGAATGTGGTCGAAAATCGTCAGTTGACGATGTATCAGAACGGCAAGGAAACCCCAATTGGCGAACTAAAAAGTTTGGGATGTTTTACTGATCACTTGATAATACTCCCTGTAGATTATTGGGGCTGTAACCAGTGATACCATCCAGTTCTTTTATTTTCATCTTTGCCCTGGTGTGTATTAATCCGGTCTCTTTCAAATATTCTATTCCTTTGTTTCGCTTATTGAAGGATAGCGATCGGACCTAGGATGCTATGATTACATGAACTGACGGTGAAAGCGGAACTGCAATCATCTATCTAGTTCGGAAAAAACCCATCCCGTTCATCAAGACTGGATAGAAATAAAACAAATCGCATCGTTTACTTCTTATAAAGCGCACCAAGCACAGCACAAAAATCATTTTTCCCATTGAACAGTCATATTTCAGACATCTGTGGCGCCGTCGCGACAGCAACAATACGGCCAGTTCTTCTCTACGGCGCAGAGACTTGGCCATTAAAAAAAACAGGATAAAGCTAGTCTGGCGATGTTTGAACACCACTGTCTACGCAGCGTTGCACGAATCTCGTGGGCAACCGGATGCTCAGGTCAAGCGCAGAGTTTTAGCTAACCACAATCACCCACTGGAGCAAGTGGTCGACGTCCATAGATTACGTTGGTTAAGGCGTGTTACACATGTCACCAAATAGATTACCACGGTGAGAGATGATCACTGCTGTAGTTACAGGGTGGAAAAAAGCCAAGGGTGGTCAAACTAAGACCTGACATGAGGGTATGAAAACCCTGACCAGTGGACTGTGTCACATAGGTCCCGTTAGGCTCCCTGGATGGGGACCGCGAGATGATCGTAACCGATGGTTAGAGACACTGTGTGATATGGTTGAATGTCGTAAACAGTAGCGTTCATGCATCTTCTCAGTTTGTTTGCAGTCACAGTTTACTGGAGTTCCCAATTTTCTCCTCGACTCTGCTCTCANCTCTCCTGTCTTTCTCCCACTGCTTCATCCAAATGGGCAACCAAAAGCGGCACACGAAAGTGCATGATTAATGGTTGTACGAACTGAAACGTTGTAGACTGCTTACGGTGAATGGGGTGCGCTTGGATGTTACGCTATTAGTTTTAGTCGCACAACACAACAGACACTTCATTCCTCAAGGTGCCCCGAGCTTGTTGACAGATATAGAGAAGAGTGGATTGACACAATTACGTATCAGCACTGTTTTTTTCTCAACCGTGAATCATGTTGAATCCGAAAGAAATCCACATTTGATCCATTAACATCAACTGGCTATTGCCATAATTTTGTAAAAGAAGGATTTTCCTGTTGCACAATCAGCCGTTGAATAAGCATTACAACGAAATGTTTCAAAATTCGGCTATAGGTATAAGCCTCCCATAGGTAAACTCAACTCTCTCAGCTGTGTGCAAATGGTTTGGTGTTAGCCTATTCGCTAAAGCTCCAATCTACAGAAAAATGATATTTCCGGTGACCAAGTTCAACAGAACAAGTTAGTCATATCGCAACTGTGCTTTGAATAAATCGGTGCAGCGAAACTGAATTTCTGACACTTGAAGGATTAAATTCCAGATTTTCATTAGACTTTGTGCTTGATTGATTGCTTCTACGTACAACTGTGAAAGCTGCTTAGTTGACTCTAACTGCTGTCTCACTATTCCAAGAATCTTATCTTTTTGTCTTCTGTTCTAAGCAGTACTGTTCATTCTTTGAAGTGTGAACTAATTCTTTTTAGTAGAAGTGGTCTGAATTCTGCGGAACTGAATATAACTTGGCGGCCGCGCATTTTCGAATCAACTGCGCTTCTTTCTTTGCTTTCCGGTTGAAATAGGTGATTGGTTGAGGACATATGACCAAATATGAGTCGGTAATTCTAATATGAGATGATTCAAATTCAATTTTCTTCTTATGGGTAAATTACAAAGCTAATGCTTATTGATTCCCATAGGATTCGTACACACTGGGTTCGGTTGGTAGTGCAATTAAATATCAAATTATCACGTTCATCCACGAGTGCTGAACGGAGTTAGGTGTTTTAATGCTACATCGAACCGCGACTTGAATGAGTCTGTAGTTGGAGCACAAACAACGTGAGGTGGAAGAGTGTTCCAGGTATTCCAATTTCTGAGGCTGAAGGAGTGATGCCAACGTGGTCTAGCGGACTCTTTTGGAGCAAAAGTTTAAACGGGTGTCCCCTGAGGTGATCATTCGTGTATGGTGTTAGTAGATTAG